CACACACAGCCTCTCCACCCTCTCTCGGCGCGTCCCGGAGCCTCTTGTGCAAGCCGCGGGCGCCCGCCCGTTCCCAGGCCCGGCTGCAGCTGCGGGCGGAGGGGCAGGGCGGGGGCGGCCCGCTGTTTGTCTAGCGCGGCCGTGCCAAAGGCGGCGGGGCCCAGACAGCGCGGCGCCTCCGTACACCTGGGGATGCTCAGGTTAAATAGCTCCGCATTCCTCGGGCCCAGCTGATGGAAAAGCTCCCAGGCCGCCGCCGAGCCGGCCTCCAGATGGGCTGGGTCCGGGCCAAAGGGGAAAAGAGGGAAACGTGGAATCCAGAGAGCGACTCAAGGGCGGGGGAGGTGGGCCCGGGCGGGGGTGGGCTGGAGGGGCTTGCAGCAGCCCCTTCCTCCCCTGGAAGAAGGCCGTGCGGAGTAGGCGCACACTCGGGGACACGCCCCCCTCCCCGTGGGTGGGCTTGCAGACCCCGGCCCACCCGTGGGGAGGAGGCGTGCACACGTGTGCCTCTTAGGACTTGCCAAGGACGCCTGGGCAACAATTAATAGCAATAATAATTTATAACTATCAAGCATTTCGGGTCAGGCACTGTGCTAAGCGCTTCATTTCATTTATTCTGTGAATCGATCCTGTGAGACTAATATTATAAACAGCGGGAGGGGGAGGTCGCGGAGGACATTAATTTACCTGCAGATCCAATTGCTAGGACCCGTGGTAATATCTGCTTTAATGCTGAAGTCGAAGAAATAATGATTTTTTTTTAATTTTCCCCCCCACACTGCCTCTTTGAGCTGGTTTCATCTGTTGTGAACAAAACAACAAAGAGGGGGGCTGGGGGGCGGTACATTAGAATGCCGCCTTTACCCTCTCGGTGCTCATTGCATAGTCAGGCCTGTGGTTTGTAGTTGCTATTTATAATACAGGTAGTGCTTGCCTCTCCAGAACTCAGTTTCCCCATGTGTATTACATGATGTTGACATACCAGGGACTTCACAGGGCCTAACATTTCCCCAGATTTGGCACTTTCAGCTTTTGAGGAGGGCTTTGTCTGAACATAGTTACCTCCTGTCTCCTCCTACCAGCTCAGGCGCAGAGATATCTGGCCACTTGGACAATTACAGAGATCCCAGCCTGTATGGTTCTGCGGCTCCCAGACCCCCTAATCTATCTATGGAGATAGATCTGTGAGGAGGTGCCCAAATGCATTCAGGCAGACCACTTACCTACAGACCATGTACTCACACTTCTTCACAGACCCTCGAGATAGTACCTCACCCACAGCCCCAGGGCCCTATATGCACCTATGACCCAGCCCCCGAGGGGGCAGCTGCTGGTTCACTCATGTCACACACACAGGCCCAGACACCCCTATGCACACCCCCAGGAGCATACACACACATGCCCAGACAGGGAAGCCCTTGCTAGTGACACTTTTTGCCTCCAGAAGAGCAGGGCAAGTGACCTGCCCACCCCTCCTCAGAGCCCACACAGGGGCCCTGGGGGAAAAGCAGTTCCTAAGCTGCTGGCAGAGCCAGGCCAGGGTGAGGGGGCTGAGACAGACCCACAGCAGGTGGCCCAGCAGCTGTGCCTAGGCTGCCCTTGCCAACTTGTTCACCCACTTGGACAAGCTGGAAACCCCAGGGCAGCCTGGGGTGAGGTGGCCAGTTGGGGGAGGCACCTCCTACCGGGGAATGGGGCCCTGGGCAAGTCCCTATTCTCTGGGCCTTACTTCCTTCACAGTGGCAAGGTAGCAGATGGCCCACTGACCCGTTTCTAACTCCAAAGGGCTGCAGAATGCGCCCTAATTCCAGAGGGAGCCTGGACAAGTTCATCTGCATTTCAACGGCCTCCCCAGGTGACTTGAGATGGCCCAAGGATCACTTTTGAGAAACTCAAATGGTCTAGAGGTTTTTTTATGACACTGGGGAGCAGGAAAATGACTTAGTGGGAAGACTTTGGAAGACACTGGAAACACATTCATTCAGGTCGATAAAAACCAGTCCAGATGTAGTCTTCCACACGCCCCTTCCCAGGTACCAGGTGCGAATTGGGTGAGGGGTCAATCCCCTATCCCCTCAGGGCTCACCACCTCCCCCAGCCCAAGAAGACACAGAATCTTTATCATCTAAAGTATTTGTTTAATAACAAAAAACCACACCCCCCACAGAACTATTGTAAAACAATATTCTCAGTCGGTGATCATTGTAATATACAATACAAACGATAAATTTTCTCAGAAATCTGAGAAGCACCAAACGTGACCATTTTTTAAAATGTCTGCTTTTTCAAAAAATAGAAACAACACGGGGTGGGAAATTCCCCTCCCAAGTTCCGAGTCTCCGGCGGTCGCCAGGAGGGTGGCCATCCCCGCTCGGGTCCACCCGTCCGCAGGCCCCCAAAGCCTTGGGTCCGACCCAACCAGCGCCGGTGAGGCTGCCAATCTCAACCAGGTTTTCTCAGCTTCGACTAGGCGCTTGGGGGATCCAGAGAGCACTTTCCCTCTCAAGGGCTCGGGTCTGCCGCTCCCCGGGGTGGCTTTTCAGCGACACAAGATGCGATCGTCCGATGGAACACAGGCGGCCTGCGAAAGCGAGAGAAGAGGTGAGGACTGGGTGGCTTGGACGGGGGTAGGGTGCAACCGAACCGTAGATCTCCCCTCCCCAGTTCCCAGGGAGACACACTATCTCTGTTCACCTCGTGCATTTCTGCAGCACAGTGCCCAATGGGATGGGGTGGTCGCACGGCAAGTCCCCACTCCCACTCTGGGCCGAGTTCTCCATCAGGAGGAGGGTCCAGCGATCCGACTCACCTCGGCCGCCAGGGCGCTGATCTCGCCGTTCAGGGTGCTGAGCGGAGCCCGGGCGGTGAGTCCCCGGCTTCCGGGGGCTCCGACGGCGGACTGCGAATCCAGCTCTAGCTGCAGGTCCCAGATGTAGTCGATGACGTGTTGGAGGATCTCCACCTTGCTCACTTTGCGGTTCTGGGGCAGAGTGGGCACCAGCTCCTTGAGGCGCGAGTAGCAGCCGTTCATGTCGTAGAGCAGCACGTTCACCTGCTGCTCGTCGAGCAGGGCGGGCAGGCGTCCCCCGGAGCCGCCGGCGCAGCGGGAGATGGCCACGCTCTGCTCCGACAGGCAGCGCACCACCTCGCCCGCGCCGCCCGCCGCCTTGCCCGCCTTCAAGGCGCAGCTAGGGCCTGCGGCGGCCGCGGCGCTGCCATTGGCTACCTTCATAATTCTGGTGTCGGACGAAGAGAAGAAGGACCAAGTGGCAAGAGGAACCGAGGGAAACGGCTGTAAGCTTGTGGGACGAATATAGAGCAAAAAAGACAAAATTGCAGCGTGCTTGAAGCCAGCGCGCGGCCGCCAGCCTTTTATAGAGACGCCGCGGACCCCGCCAGGGGCGGAGGCTTCACGTTCAAAAGCAGCCAATAAAAAGCCCAGGGCGTGGCCACTTGGGTTCCGCCTCCTGACCAACTAGTACACCCAGCCGCGCGTTAAAGGGACCCGAGCCCTAAAACCCTCCCCTGTGAGAGGGCAGGAGCCTAGCAACTAAGGATGGAAAGGAGGCGAAGGTTACCTTCGTCTTACAGAAAGGAGACAAGAGGATAAACTTGCATTTCTGATAAAGATAATTTTTCCCATGTTAATTTTTCTCACCCTTAATTCCATTTCAAAGATGAGGGAAACTGAGGTTCAGCCAGAGTTAGCCCACCGAGTCCAGCAGCAGAACCTGGGCTCGCGTTTTGGCAGTTTACCTCTGTGACCCTAATCTCCAAAAAATCTGGGTCGAAGTTTAAAGCAGGTTCTCTTTGAACTCTGCTCCCAAGGGTTAGTTTTTCTTTCTCCAATTCTCAGAAAATACTGCTGGCTCTTGTCCCAGGGCCGGGAAGACCCCCGTACTGAGATCTTTGAAGGTGGGAGTAATTAATTCTGGAAAGTGTTCGGCTGGACCTTCTGAACCTGAACGAGAAAGAAGAAAGCGCGCAGTGGGGTGAAGCTGCAGCTTCGGGAATTCTACCCTGAATTTGCAAACTCTTGCAGGGAAAACATTAAAAATTAAAGCCTGCAGCAACTAATGATGACTTTTAACTTTTTTTCCTCTCTTTTTTTTTTTGCCTGGAATTCAAACTCCCCCCAAAACAAGACCTCCGAGCAGGGTCTCCCTCCCACGGCGCGGCAGCTGCGGAGCTCCAGCCTTCCCCCCTTTTCCCGGGCCTGCCTGTGTCAGCGTCTAAACAAGCGGCTCAGACCGTTAGACGCCAGGCCCGTGACGTCACCCATTCATAAAATCCGGACGGGCTGTCAGACTGGCGCCGCGCGGGCGGTCGCCATGGAGACGGCAAACTGGGCTCACTAGTTCCCCCGCCTCCCTCTCGTCACCTGCGGACCCCGGGCCTAGGGCCTGGGAATGTGCTCTGTACAAGTTTGGCCGCCAGGCAGGGGTCACCTCACCTCCCCACCCCACACCTGTGAGTCCTCCCCACCCTGCCCCACAGTTTGGGCCCCTTAGCAAGTTTCTGCAAGGTCCCCCACCCCCTCACAACTCCATCTTGGAGTAAGAGGCCCTAGTAACATTCCAGCTTTGCTGCTGGATGAATTTAGGTGAGTCTAGGGCCCTGTCTGAGCCCAAAGATCTCCCTAGTGTTTGAATACTATCACTCATAAGAGGGACTTGAGCGTGGAGAGTTTGCACCCCACAACTCCAACTGTTGCTCTCTTTGTGCAAAGGTTGAAACTGAAGCACAAAAAATTCTTAGACCTGCAGCTGTTCTCAGGGCTGTATTATCATAAGAAAACCAGTAGTGGTAGGGTCCATGCAGACTTATGGGGACTCTATAAGTACCAGAGTAGAACTGTGCTCCCAAGTGTCTCAGCGGCTCTTTTTCAAAGTTTGATTACCAGGCTTTCTTCTGCATCACCTCCAGGTGACTCACTGTTCTAAGGCACATTGTTGTGATGTGGTCCTTGAGTATCTTGACGGAGTGTGTGAATAGTCTGGCCTCAGCTCCAGTCATGCCACATGTAGGCAGCCGACTCAGATAACCATCTAAGGCCAAACGATATTTGTAAGGGAAAATACTATGCTCACATAGGAGAAACTAGCATATGGTCTCCTCACTGCCTACCCCAAGAAATTAATTTACTAGGGATCAACAGGGCCCATTTTCCCATACACCTTTGGGAGAGGGGATGATAAGCTAACTCCTATCTCAAGCACAAACCAGGAAAACCAGTTATTGTCTAATAGATTCCAGCTCAGGGCAATCTGCATGCCAGGTCTTCAGTGGTTGACTTTTCAGAAGTAGGTTGTCAGATCTGCCTTCTGAGACACCTCTGGATAGATTCGAACTTCCAGCCTTAAAGTTAACAGCTAAGTAGCTTAACTCCATTTATCATTTGCACCACCCAGGGACTCTACCATAGAAAACTGACCAGTGAAAGCAGCTTCAAAGAAGAGAGAGCAGTGAATTAGCTGCACTCCCACCCCCTTTCCACATACCCCCAAATGATCCAAACTCCCCAGGCTTTGTTTAGCAATCCTCTGATGGTGAGAGAGAACACTTTGTTATGCAGAATTGCTAAAGAATTGGAAGGATTCCAGTCATCCAGAGGATATTACAATATTAATTCATTACCAAGTGTTTATAATATTAATTGACTCAACAATTCTATTTCTTCTAATAAACTTCAGAGAAACCAATCCAGAAAAGCATGAAGATGTCTGCTCCAGGATGTTCCTGGTGATGTTGTTTGCAGAAAGGCAAGTTAAAAACCTAAATGCCTGTCACATTTACAAACTAGAATTAGAATACTAATGTTGTGGGTGGCTATGCAGCAGATGGGAAGCATGTCATTGAGGAATACCTAAATCCTACTGTTTGTGGAAAAGCAAGTGACACAGGGGGACACAGACTTTTCACATGCAAAAAAGCAGTAATCATACTGCTCCTGAACACATGTGTGTCTGGAAGTGAATTTTTAATGACAAGAGAGAATTATGCAGCAGAAAAATATGCAAGCATCACAATTGTGGGATTCCTCTTAGATGAAATTCTGTTGGGGATATAACAACAACACATAACTTGTTGTTACATATAATACCGAGCTGACCCTTACCCTGTCCTGAGTCATCCTTACCGTCTCTGTTATTTTTTAACTTATTATTACAGTTGCTGTGTTAAACCATCTTATTGGGCATCTTCCTCTTTCTTTGACCTTTTCCAGCATGATGTCTTTTTCCAAGGACCAGCCCCTCCTGACAACAACCCAAAGAAGGTGAGACCAACTTTCACCGTTCTTGCCCCTAAGAAGCACCTGGTTACACTTCCTCCAAGACATATTTTTTTGTTTGTTCTTTTAATAGTCCATAAGATATTAAGCATCCTTCTCTGACACTGCAAATCAAAGGCATTAATTCTTCTTCTGTCATCTTTATTCATTGTCTAAGTTTCAGATAGATAGGAAGCAATTGAAAAAAATCTGTTGGTGTTGTTCCATAGAGTCGGAACCGACCCATAGCTGACCCTCCGGCGGAGGGTTTTCAGCAGTTAATCGCATGGGAGGAGATTGCCCATTCTTCTCCCTCAGAGCATCTGGTGGCCTTGAACTGCGTGCCTTCAGGATTGCAGTACAGCTTCTTGCCTCTAGGCTACCAGTGCTCCTGAAAAAATTCAAGAAGAGGAACATTTAATTTATGGTGAGAGAAAAAAAAAATGAGAATGGTGGCTGCTTCTGGAAGTACAAGGGAGTGATGTCCAAGAAACGGGAGTAAGGAAACTTTCTGGGGTAATAGTCACGTTCATGTCATCCTGAGTGTCACTTTCATAGTGAATGAAATGATCAAAACTCATTAACTTACTTTTTTTGGTAATCTTTTTTTTTTCTTTTTTCTTTTTGCTGTGTACCGTCAGATCAGATCCGACTGGCATGGGAGGAGATTGCCTCTCCTTCTCCAGTGGAGCATCTGGTGGATTCGAACTGCATACCTTCAGGATTGCAGTGAAGCTTCTTATCACTAGACCATCAGAGCTCCCTTTCACTTAAATACTTTAATGCATTTCACTGTATGTAACTTGTACTGCAATAAAAAATACTAGAAGCCAAAGAATAATAGCAATAAAAAGATGGGAGAGTAAACACCAATTTGGGGGGGGTCACTGACGGGATGATCACTGAAGTGGGGAAAAAAAAGAGGGCAATATGTAATAGGAATTTCATTTTTATCTCCACACAGATATTTCATTTTTGCTTCTCAAAAAACAGTTTTATTGATGTAATTTACATACAATTAATTTCACATATTTAAAACATAGAGTTTTAGACACATTTGCATATGAATACACAAATGAAACTATCAACACAATCAAGAAAAGGAACATATAGTCTGACACTTTTGGTTGCTTCCTTCTGCCCCATTGTAACATCTTCCTTCCCTCCAGTTATCCACTGATTTACTTTCTCTATTCTTTAATTTCCAAAGGTGGGTGACTCTACTCTGTGGCCCTCAGGCCTGCGTTTAATTGTTTTTGGTGAAACATTCTTCTAGGTTGTGTAACCCTGGTATGTCCATTTGCTGCACAGAGGTAACTCATGGTTGCTGTGAAGCTGAACACTGTGATACTGATGAGTCAAATGGGAGAATGGTTACCCATGGTGGACAGTGTTTGGTGGAGCTCCTCAATTAAAATAAGCTTGGAAGCAGGAGTGGCATCCACTTCCATAATAGCTTGCCTCCGGAAACCCTATGAACCTAGAGAAAGGACGAAAGTTATACAGGTGTCCAGGTCTTTGGTTCATAGGGTCGCTCTGAGTCGCCTATGACTCGACGGCGCTTAACAACAACAACAACAACAACATTTGTTAATTTGTATTTTCTGTAACTGGCACAGTCCTCTATGTATACTCCTTTTTTGTCACCTTCTGAGTTTGATTTCTTTCACTTAGCAGAGTTATTCTGAGATGCACCTATGTTGTCATGTCTAGCAATAGCAGTGAAAAGAATTCATTCCTTTTTTTATTGCTGAGTAGTATTCTAGTGTATGAATATTCTATAATTTGTTATCCACTCACAAATGGTGATGGACATTTGAATTGTGTACCATCCAGTCAGAACTGACTCATAGCTGGCAGGTTTTCAGAGTTAATTGCATGGGAGGAGATTATTCATCCTCTTGCGGAGCAGCTGGTGGATTCGAACCATATGCATTCGGGGTTGCAGCTCAGCTTCTTGCCA